AACATTGTTATACTTCGCAGAAGAAAATCCCTGGTCTCTACAAGGTTTTTGAATCGAGTGTGTGACTAGCCACCTCTGATCTCCTTTTGCAGTGTTACCTTATTTGATAACTGTAGTATGGTCCTAGTACCCAACACTCTGTCTGCCTTTTGGTCCCGGTACACACACGGATTCAGTGCCATTTCTGTCTTAACTAAGAGTTTACTGTGCACCATCTTGTGAGATCTTGGCAAGGTCAGGATACTGTGTGTTTTTGTTAAATTGAGATCTGTCATCTTTTCTCTCAGACGTATTTAAATTGCCATTATTACTAGTAATGCACTAGTAAGGGTTACTCCAATCTGACCTTTTTTGTTGTTTTGTTTTGAGACAGAGCCTCAGTTTGTAGCCCAGGCCAGCCTTAAACTCCGCAATTCTGCCTCGGCAGAATACTGGGATTACAGGCATGTGCCACCATGCCTGTCTTTCTAGTCAGTTTTGATGGTCATTCTGATAACTAAGACTAAGTGGCTATGAGCAGCTGATGGCCCAGGAGTATATTCCTTTGGGGGAGGCAGGGCAAAGAAGAATGATTCGCTTCCAAGTGGGAAAGTGAGAATTCCTTGTGCTACTCAGAATGGTGCACAGTTTAATTGGGTATTATTTTCAGATTATCACTGAGACTCAAACTCAGCTTTTGCTTTGACTGAGCTACATACCCAGACTTCTTTTTCTTCATTTTTCTTCCATTTTGTGGCAGAGTCATGCTAAATTGCTTAGACCGTGTTTGAATTTATGATCCTCCTGCTTCAGCTTCCTAGAGTTCGGGGATTAAGGGTGTGCCACCATGCCAGGCTTGGAGTTTTCCGTATTTTGACTATGTTGACCAGGAGTAGCTGAAGTCATAGAAAGGCCAGTGTGTAAGGAGGAGACTGCTCTAAGTATGCTTAAGACCTGGTGAGGCAACTGGCTTAAGGCCAGCTTGCTTACATAGTTAAGCAACTGAGGAGGAATTTGAGCCTTTTAACTTATGCCTTGAAAGAAGTCATACTGCACTGTGATGTTTTTCTGCCAAAAAATAGTGTAAAACTAGAAGGTATTTATTTTATGGTTAATCATGTAGTAAGAAGGATTGCATTTTCTACCTAGTTTTTTCTTTCTTAGGGAAAAAAGTTGACATCAGTTTGTTTCTGTGCTCATGTCCTAGACTTTCTCCTTTTAAATCCTTTCTCCTTTTAAATCTTGGGTAAAACAAAAGTCTCAAATAACATGATTGGATTTCATTATTTTCACTTCTCAGGATTTATACTGTGGATTGGCTTGGGAAAAATTAACTATGTTTCATTGAATAATTATGTATCTGTTTATTATGTTAAATTAATTAGAATCTGGAGCATATAAAAACTATTTCATCTGTCCTCCACCCCTGAAAGTTTATTCTTGAAGGGATTCCTGTAAAATCCTAAGGATTTCGAGGCTACGAATGTGCTTAGTGAGTATGCTGTTTAGCAAGAGTGACTCTGAGGGTGAACTGATGATGAGAAAGTGACCATGGCATTCAGCTCTGCCAGTGCATCCTGAGAGTGATGCTGAAGCTATTTTGGGAACTGATCTTGGAGGCCCTTCTGGGAGTTTTTTGAACTTTAAAAAGAGCTGCCACTATTTTGTATAACCATGGAAGGGCAGTGGGATTCTTAGACCCCACCCTTCTCTGACCTGTCTCCCTTTTAATGAAAATCTTGGGTAAAACAAAAGTATGAACTTCTAAACATGAACCTCCCAAATTGCTGGGATAGAGGTACACCACTGTGCCTGGCTCAAAAGTAAAATTCTAATTGTTTACTTCACACTTACTATTCATAATTCAATAGATGTTTGTTGAATATCCATGATAGTGCCAGGCATTGTTCCAAATACTGAGGATGTAACTGAATAAAAAAATCTAAATCTGTCTTACTGAGGACTGTTTGGAGCAAAATCAGTGAGATGTGATCAATAAAGGGGGAGAGTAGGGCGGTGTGGAATGGAACCTGCAATTTCAGCATTAATTACTTCACTGGAAAACATGAGTTTTTCAGACTGGGTTTCACTAAGCAGTTCAGGCTGCCCTTGGAATCACTGCGTAACCCAGACTAGCCTTAGTCTTGTGATGATCCTTCTGCCTCAGCCTCCTGAGTGCTGAAATTACCGCTGTGTTCCACCATGCCTATTCTAGAAAGCATATTTAAATGAAGACCTTAGGGACCAAGTGAACAAGCTATGTAGACACCTAGAGGGGAGAGACCTTAAAGTGGAAGGCATGCTTAGTAAGTTGAAGAACTACAAGGAAATACAGGATATGAGACTGTGGCAGGAGGGTTGTCACAGTTTGGAGACCAGCCTAGGCTACTTAGTGGGTTCCAGCCCAGCCTGAACTAGCTAGCCAGACCCTGTCTCAGAAACAACGACAAAAGGAACATAACACTGGAATGAAGATAGATTTACATTTTGAAAACAAAAATAATTTTTGAAAACTGAATTTCAGGCAATCGTAAGCCAGATTGTTTGACATTGAGATAGGACATTTGGCCCAGTTAGAAATGCTGGAGGAATAGACCCTGTTTTTTTAAAAAAAAAAAAAGAAAAGAAAAGAAAAAAAATGAGAGGAAAGACTTGAGTGGATGAATTTGAGAATAAACAAGATGAGAAGTTTGGTTTTGGTCATGTGAAGCTCTGTCTGTAAGTCCCATTTTCTATTGTTAAACAAAGTATGGCACCTGGATACTTTATAAAGAAGAGATATAGGGCTGGGGGTATGGCTCAGTGGAGGACTGCTTGGCTAGCATCAGGAGGCCCTCTGATCCCTAGTAGCATCATGGAAACTGACAGGCCAGGCTTGCTGGACAGCGACTGGGTCACTGGGGTCTGGGCCTCAGAACAGAACTGTGCTGCCCTAAATGAAGTCACCCTATGCCTTCAGCCTCTCCAGTGCACAGCCCTTTCCTTCCTTGCTTGTCTACGGTTGGGACAGGTGCAGAGCAGCTTCTCTGATAGCTGGCATAGTCCCCTTCTGAGGCCGAGCCCCAATGACCCAGTCACCCACCGTGCACTGGGGTCAAAGTTTCCAGGGCCTGAGCATTGAGAATATGGGACAAACCCAGATGTGGGGGCGTAGCGCGGCATGGTAGGGTTGGGGACCATATCCAGAATGTACTAGGTGCTACTGCTTTAAGAGAAGATGACAGGCTGCAGGTGTGGACAGAAGAGCAAAGCATGTCAGGGTAGAGGTTGACTGCATTTGAATCACCTCAGCATGGAGGGAGTATAGGCAGTGTTTAAGTCCATTGTGATGCGTGAGATCACTACAGAAATGCACAGACTGAGCAGCAACGCAGGACAGCCCCAGCTAGGCACAGAGGAACCAGCAAGGAGAGTAAAGGTTGCCGCCAGACTGGGGAGAGCCAGGAGAGTACAGAGATAGGACGCTGACTGGTGTCTTGTGAAGAGGAAGGCAGAGCAGCTGGGTAGGATGTTACCTTCAAGTCAAATAAAAATGAAGCACTGGTTATTGGAGTTAACTGAACTGTTGAGATAATCATTGGAGACCTTGATAAGCAGGTGAGGGGTTACATCTGATTTGAAAGTGGTCAAGCTAGAGGAGCTGGGTAGTGTGCCATGTGTCTGCAATTCCAGCTCTGGAGGTTGACACAGGAGGTTCACAGGATCAAGTCCAGCCTGGGCATCTTAGCAAGATGCTGTCTGAAAAGGCACCAAGAAGTGGCTCTGTGGTAGAGCACTTGACAGGCATATTCAAGACTCTGGGTTCATTCCTTAGTAGTACTATATTGCTCCTGCCCCGGGCAGGGAGGGGAGGAATGGGAGACATGCGGTTCCACACAGCTTCCAAAGGCAAACAAAGCAGTTGGTCAGTAGCTGAGGTGAAGAGAATTTTTTCTCATGAAATAGGAAGCAGAGCATAGCCACAGGTAGGTATGAGGATGGAGATTTCAAGAGGAGAGAGAGAATTATTTAGATGGGAGGGAGAATGATGGAACATGACATTAAAGCATGCGGATCTATTTCTCCAACCCTGCTTGGATACTTAGCTTCTTCTTATTTCCTTTCTCCATTACAGTTGATGCTTGACCAACTATGGGTAGAAAGTATTGGGGAAAAGTGTTTTTGTAGTGAACATTTATAGATTTTTCTTGTCATTATTTCCTAAACAAAACAGTAGAAGGACTGTTTACACTGACTTACACTGTTAGGAATTAAAAAGTAATTTAGAGAAAGTTTGAACTATTCTGGAGGAGGTTGTGTGTGATATCTGTAAATTCCTTGCCATTTTATATAAGGGACTTGATGAACATCCACATATTTGAGCATCTTGGGGAAGGGATCCTCTATACACAAAAGTCTCAAATAACACGATTGTTATATTTTACAGGAGATTACTTTTTGTCTTGTAAATAACTTGATTTTGATAATCATGTTTTCTTATGGTATTCCTGGTATTGTTTCCCTCTTTTTCACTTTTGAGTTCGTTATTTGATTTTTTTTTTTTTTTTTTTGGAGACATAGTCTTTCTCTGTAGCCCAGGCTGGCCTTGAAATTCAGGGATCTTCCTGGTTCAGCCACTCACATGCCGGGATTATAGGCATGTAGCTCCCCTCTCTTCCCTTCTCTTTTTTGAGATGGTCTCAATGTCTATTCAGGCAGGCCTGAGTTCACTGTGTAGGCCAGGCTGGCCTTGAACACACAGTGATCCTCCTACCTCAGCTTCCAGAGCGCTGGGATTGCAGGAGTGCGCCACCATGCCTGGCTCCCCTGACTTTGTTGGCAATATATTTTGGTAAGCCATCAGTATTCTTTTGCAGTTGCATCACCTAGCTGTAATTACTTAAAAGGTCTTTGGATTTTAAAACTAAAAACTCATCTGGAAATTGGAGAGGTTTTGTTTTAGTTCTGAGAGGTGAACTTTTAATTTTGGTGTCTAGTGAAGTGGCATTTTGTTTCACAGCTGTTTTGTTTTTGTGTTGCAGGAAACCCAGCGTTTGCTGGCAGAGCCGGTTCCTGGGATTAAAGCAGAACCAGACGAGAGCAACGCCCGTTATTTTCACGTGGTCATTGCTGGTCCCCAGGATTCCCCCTTTGAAGGAGGGACTTTTAAACTTGAACTATTTCTGCCAGAAGAATACCCAATGGCAGCACCTAAAGTACGTTTCATGACCAAAATTTATCATCCTAATGTAGACAAGTTGGGAAGAATATGTTTAGATATTTTGAAAGGTAAGTGCTACCTTGTCATCATTTACTATTTCTCCTTGCTTTGCTAAGTATCCCATATTAGAATGTAAACTTTGTAATCTTACCTTGGACCAAGACCACAGAGGTCTGTGGGAGGGAAATGCAGCAATTCTGAGCCTATGTTTTCCTGCTTTATCATATCATCTACTGGGCCTGTTGCCTTCATAGATAAATGGTCGCCAGCACTGCAGATCCGCACAGTTCTGCTATCGATCCAGGCTTTGTTAAGTGCTCCTAATCCAGATGACCCATTAGCAAATGATGTAGCGGAGCAGTGGAAGACCAACGAAGCCCAAGCCATAGAAACAGGTATTTAATATTCTCCTGTACAGCACTTGTGCTTTGAAAGCACATTGCTGCACCATTAAAATCTAAGCTTTCGGCAAGCAAAAGTAAAGTAATTAATTATATTGAATCGGATTCTGCTTTTGGTATTCAAGATACAGTTGTACCTCAGTTCAGGAACACCTTTGTTTGCAGAGAGTTCCTTTTGCAAACAGAAGGCTTATTTGGCCAATATATATATATATATAAAATGTATGTATGTATGTATTTTTTCTTTTTTTTTGGTTTGCAAACTCTGCATTAGGTGACAAACACCCCTGTGGCCATCTTGTCCAGAATCAAAGAACAAATGAAGTTCATGAGCTGAGGTACCACTGTACATCTTAAAAGATGTTCGCCCTCCTCCTTTCACACCCTGCTTGCGCTCCCACTTTAAAATCGTAATTGGGAAATGTTAAGACTCTGGCATGTCTAACATTCATCTAGCAGTAAATAGACACCAGAAAACTTTTGAACCATTTTTGAACTGTTCAAGAAATTGACCATACGGCAGTAAGCTATAGAGCATGGAATTAGTGAACTTCATTCTGCCGCAGTTAAAACAACGTGAGTGGGGAGCATTATATATCCAGAAACAAAGACTGCAAGTCTTCTCATCCTATTGAATTTTGTAGGTCTTTTGAGTTTCATTGTAATCTTCTGGTAACTCAGCATCAAAAGAGTCTTTCAACCCTTGATGGTTTATAGGAGATAACATGAATTTGAAAGATTGTAGCATGACATGTCCATAATTAACTTAATTGTACTTGTTTACTGTTGCTAGACTTTGAGGAGTAATCTGTTGAGCTTAGTAAAATAATAATCACCTGTTTGTTTTTGTCTGCAGCTAGAGCATGGACTAGGCTATATGCCATGAATAATATTTAAGTCGATCTGATCATCACGTTTGTGTCACTTCTCCTGTTCTGCCAAGACTCCTTCCTTTTTGTTTGCATTTAATGGACACAGTCTTAGAAACGTTACAGAATAAAAGCCCAGACATTTTCAGTCCTTTGGTGATTAAATGCGCATTAGCAAATCTATGTCTTGTCCTGATTCACTGTTGTAAAGCATGAGCAGAGGCTAGAAGTTTCATCCAGATTGTCGTGAAACATTGAAAAGCAGTGGCCCTCTGCTTTTATTCATTTCCCCCATCATGGTTTTAAGTATAAAGCACTGTGAATGAAGGTAGTTGTCAAGGTTAGCTGCAGGGGTATGGGTGTTCTTTATTTTATTTTATTTTATATTTTGAGGGGAAAGGTAGTTTCAGTTTTATGGGCTCCCCACCCCCACTTTTATGGTGATCTAATGCATTGGTTAAAAAAGCAGCTAACCAGTTCTTTTAAGATACACTCTCTAGCCAAGTCTAACTTTATTTAGACACTGTAGATGGACAAGCTGATTGTTCGAACCAAAATGGGAAACATTAACAACTTCACAGCTCTCACTAATAACATTGTGATTTTGCAGTCAAGTATAGATTCCCTCCTTCAAAAAAGCTTGTGACCATTTTGTATGGCTTGTCTGGAAACTTCTGTAAATCTTATGTTTTAGTAAAATATTTTTTGTTATTCTACTTTGCCTTTGTATAGTTTATTTTACTGTGTTTATTTCATTTTCCCAATGTGACAATCGTATTTAAAAAATTAAAACTGATGGAACATTCTGTTTTGGTCTTCACAATCTGACAGAATGGCAAGAGATGGATTTGCCAATTTCTTTTCACTGATGCAAATTTATGTTAAGATTACTGAATGGAGTTTATAAACAGGGCTTGAGCATGCATAAAGCATCAGTATCTGACCCTTTCCCACCCCCTAGAAATTCGAATAAAGGTTCTATGTTACCTGGTTAGGAGATTGTTGGTGTCTTGCCATAATGTTTGAAAAGCAGTGCACAGGAGCGTGGCAGCAAAGAACGCAGCTGTGACTGACATCTTGGACTTTCACATTGTGCCACTTCTTTCTTTTTGCCTCAACTGAGCTATGACCTTTTTCTTGGTTCTTGTCTGAAAACTTCATGTGTTACCATTGGTGTGTGATTAGGAAATACCAATCTGATAATCATTTGGGGTTTGCAGAGATACTTGTCAAGTTTTCCTTACAGAACTAAGAGGAAATCTCAAGCAAGCAGCTTGCATAACCATCATCAGAAAGATTTTTTCCTTGAAGAGCACCAGATTTTCAGTTGAGTCTTGTGTCCATCCTTTCTAGTGTGCTGTGGGAGCTTTTATTCTTTAATTTGCTTACAGTAAATTTTTCATTAGTAAGAATTTCTTCCCTCACAAAACAGTTCTTTCCCACCTCTCTCTCCATCTGATTCCCAATTTTTGTTATTTTAAAGTCTTACGTAGCCAGTCTTAAATGTGTAAATGTTAACCTTTGGGTTGGGATTGTTGTCTCTTGCAGTTTGAGGTAATGGATATTGTAGCCCATCTGCATTTTCCTTACTCGTATTCTCATGACTTCTGGCATTTCTTCAGAATGTGGTGTATTTTATTGTGCTCCTATGTAAGATGAAGAATTATCTATTAAAATTACATTTTCAACATACAAAAGTTTCTGGTGACTCCTGATATCCTTCCAAATAAATGTAATGCTTAGTAACAAACGTTACGTTCAGAATACACAGTTGTTGATAACCCTAATGTCATATATTTATAGCAGTTGTCAACAATTGTTGAGCACAGGGCGCCTTTGACTACAGCTAAGGAAATTGTCTCATTCTAAAAAGCAAACTCAGGACTGGAAGTACTTACGTAGAGATCAGAAATCATCATGTACTGCTCATTATAGATAGCTGATGTCACGGTGACTTATGAAGGTCCAGATCTCTCTTTATTCCATTATAAAGTCCATCCAGAGTATGTCTCGAGCTTGAAAGTTAATGGAAGTATAGGATGGAATAAGGCACTGGTTTCTTGTGGGAATTCTGTCTTTATGGACTCGCCTTGTGTAGCTTCAATGAGAGTCCCCTTTGTTATAAGACTTGCTTTCTCAACAAGTGGGGTAAAGTGAGAGCCAGTGAATAGCTGTAGGTCTTGTGAGGACCTGAGAGAGGTCAAGGCAGGTGTTGAACATCTGACCTGCTTTCCTCGGCCTACACTTAGTTGGTTAACCATTCTGAATTTGATGCCGACATTTGTTCACCTCCAAGATTGCCATGAAAAGCAAGAAATTTGTCTCTTTTAAATGACAACACTGTTAAGTAGAGCCAACCCACCTTTGTGCCTGATCTCTCCTGGGAGGAGCTAAGTGATGCTTACTGGCAGGATTCTCCACCACTGTCCTCTTACCCAGGTCCTCACCAGGGGCCAGGGTCCTTCCAGCTGGTTGGCTTCTTTGTGTAACCCTGTTCCCGTGTAAGCCTATCCCAAAGTAAAGGGAACAACTCACTTGAAAAAAATAGTGATATGTTGTTTCTCAAATTCACTTCGTTCCAGAATCATGGAGCACTGAAAAGTCTGGACAAGTGAACATATTTTTCCCGTAATAAATAATGAAAAACCAATCAGTTCTGAGACCAAAAAAATTGTACTTATAAATTGTTTTTTTTTCAAGACTTATATTTTTGCCGTGATTTCTTTTCCTCTATAATGGTTCTCATTGTTGCTCTTAGCTTTACTCCTTTCTTTGGAGCCATGCTTATAATATTTAATGCAAACAAAGTGCAAAATGAAAAAATCACAATGACAAATGCTTTAAGGCACCAGCACAAGCACTGTGTGTTGCCTGGGCCAGAGTGGCGTCTCTCACTCTCATCCCCTACAGGCTTTTCCAGGTTGGTTGGTGTGACTGTTGAACAAAAGTTGCGGACACTGAGCAGATTATTCTTGAATTTCACTATTCGAGTAGTGGAAAATTCAGGCTTAGAGCTGCTCAACAACTGAGTATCACTGCAGATGATCCCTGCTCATTACTAGTTGGTGACGAGGTCAGTGAGTGCTAAGGGGCTTTCCCGTGAGGATCTTGCAGTCAGATGAGGGGAGGGGACATGAAACAGTGCAGCTTGGTCATAGAGATGGGAACCAACTGGGAGGCCTCTTTCTGGGACCCATGTGAATACCTTCAGGCAGGGAGAGAAGCACTTGGAGAGCCCTGGGCGAGAAGGGAAGAACCAGGGCCTATTGATGAATCATTTGTCTCTTAAAAATCTGAAATCCCGAGATGTTGATTTGAGTGTTGTCTGCTTTGCTAGGAGTTGTTTCCACTGACAACCAGTTATCCTTGGACCTCTCAAGAGTCCACCTAGTATGACGTTAGACCTAATGTATGTAGAACTTAAACCTTACTCTAGACCAGCAGTGTACTTGTAAATTTCAGAAATGTTAAAAGCTTTAAATACATAATCAGAGTATAAGGGCCATAGGTGCTGTGGTTTAGTACTTTTTTTTTTCTTTTTTAAGGGAATGGAATTGGTGTCCTGTCCATTAGAAATACATTTAACAAAGTAAAACTAAATGGTGTAGGAACTGGCTACATTCTTCTGTTTGATGTTTTCTGGCTATTCTAGCCACTTTCATTTTTGTTGGTTACTATAGTACTAAAAGATTAGTAATATTTCATCTAGAAAAGCTGTCCAAAAATAAAGCACATAACTCAATTTGAGAACGATGTAATATTTGATTGAATAATGTGTTTCGGGGCTGGGAACAACATTTAACTTAGCTATTTAGCATGTTGCCTATCTTACAGAATTATAGCAGGGTTTATATTTAAATGACAACACAAAGGAAAACATGTTGAATGTAACTTGAAAATATAAATAAAAATCTAATACACCAATTGGACTGACTGGCGGTATTTGTCTATTTCCTTAACTCTAGGACACTCTTACATTATTTTCCATTTTATCTTTTGGAACCTTTTTTTTTTTTTTTTTGGGTACCAGGGATTGAATGCATGACCTTAAACTTGCCAGGCAGGTGTTTGTGCCACTGAGCTAAGTCCCTGGCTCCATTTTATCTTTGAAGCTAGAAAGTGCTTTTTAGAAGTTGGCTTTGCCTATATAGCTTTATGGTAATCAGACAAACAACCATTGGCTGAAAATCTGGAAGCTGGTCTAAAATTTCCCAATATGAACAGTTTGGGTTTTCTTCCATTTTTCTAATTTCATCTTTGCTAACCTTGTGCTGACCTCATTTTCTGTGTGCATATTGGTGCAACACTTAACGGTTGTTAGTGTAGACCTCTTGTCATGCTGAGCTGCTGCTGAATTGGCTATGTAATTGCTTCTATCAGTTGAAATCTCACTGTTTTATATAAGCTTTTATGGCATGGTACTGCTTATGGAACAAAAAGAAGAAAAAAATAACATCATAGGCTACAATCAATGTAGAATTACTAGCACATTTCCATATTATACTCATGATCCATCAGGACTGCTTTGGAAACGACCTAGCATACTCAGTAGCTATTAAATTTCACTATAACCTTGTAATGTGATGTCTTATGACTGAAGTTTAGGAGCAGGCTATTTAAGACTTACATCAGGCAAAAAAGCAGGCTGGTTGTACATTTTTTCTTTCCTTTTCCCTTTAATACTGAGGGTCAGACCTGGGTGTTCTCGTGCTTCATGCGTTCTTCCGCTGAAGTTCTACCAAGCCCCAGCCATACCAGATTGGAACTTCATGTGTAAGTTTTGGCAGGAAGTACTGGGACTACCTACCTAAAAGGGTAGTCAAGTTTTCACAATTTGCATTTTTTCTCTAGTGAAACAGTCTTTTGTCTGATGACCCACAGTTCTATACCACCTGCTCAGTTCTGCCATTGTAGTGAGGTGGCAGCCGGCCATGGACATGCCTGCCCTGGTTTACCCCCCCCCCCAACTACCCAAGATGTAGAACTTCACACATTTTGGGTGTGAAGATAGGTAGTAGGGAAGGTGACGTAGTTCCCACCTTTGACAGTAATCACTCGGCTTTACAAGAGAGTATGCTTTCTTCAGAAGGGCCCAGTACTTCCCATTACTTGGGTCAGGATTAGGGGGCTGTGGTAGTTTTCTTCCCCTTGCTGATACTAACATTCTGAGACAATGTATAGTTTAAGCATTTATCAGGCCCAGAGTTGCACGAAGACTATTAGACACTTCTCAAAACATTTAAACAACTGTATTGTTTCTTTACAGAAAACGTGACTTACAGTTTTTAAAAACGCCTTTAGCCTGGCATGGTGGCCCATGCCTGTAATCCCAGATTTGAGAGGCTGAGGCAGGATCACTGGGTTCAAGGCCAGGCTGAGCTGCACAGTGAAACTGTCTTTAAAAAACAAGGCTGACCCTAGTTTTTCATTAGTGATGTTTGCAATGCGGTGCTTACATTCCTTGTGGGAAACTGATTACAGGTACATAACACATCTCAGCTTTTTTCATCCCATCTACCTCCTTCCTTCCATCTCTGATCCTCTGGGAAATTCTGTTTTTAAAGATAAGCCTACATAAAACTGTATTTAAGAAGTTCTCAACTAAGTATCGGTCATTTATCTGTGCTCTACTGCAGTGTGTGCTCCTCAAGGGTGGAGACTTGTGCTTGTTTGACCAGCCTGTGTAAAAGTAGACGGGTGCATACCCTGCAGCTACTGGAAGAGGTAGAAACAATCTTAAAATCAACTACACAGTGGCACTGTTTAAAACTATCCTGGAAAACGTTTCAGTGACTAACTGGACAGGACTGGGACGTAGAAAACACAACAGCTCCATACTCCTCCAAATAACCAATCCTTAAACTATAACACTAACGGCACCAGGGACAGGGGTGGGGTGGGGTTAGGTGATTTGAAACCACCTGTGTGCATGGTAAGGTATGTGTACACCCATCCTTGATGGGAGGGTACTCTAGATCTATGATTGAGGAAGCAGTGCATTCAAAGTCCAAAGCATGTACCTTAGCCTAAGCTTAAATCTGAAAAAGAAAACCAGAGAGATGCGTTTCCATTTTTATTTGTTTCCAAATATAAAAAAGTCAAGATCCTTACACCAATTATCTCAAACGGGACCATGCAAAGCAATTCATTGTGTACAACAATCATTTCTCCCCTTCAGTTTTTCTGGTTTATAGTGGCGTGGCTGACAGAAAACTGGATATCCTGTGCTTGGTTGGAAAATACCATCTCTTTACAAAAACATGCAGGGCAGTTCCTACTTTGCCTGTGAGTCAATTTACACTAACTGCTTAATTTCTGTTTATACAGGAGGCACATGGAGCTGAAAGTTAGCTGCCCAGTTTTATTCAGCTATCTCACAAATAAGCACAAAGGACAGTATCAACACGGTAAACTTTGGAGAGTTGAGATAGTAGACATTATTTATCCTTAGTGGATTCAACTATATAGGCCTGGTATTACTGGCTTTTTCTGAACTTCCTTAGGACTTCCCCCCCTCTGATTTTGCTAGACTGCAGAACCCCTCATGGAATTTATGTGTGAGAACTGTATTCTGTTGTATACAAATTTTTGCTAATTGCATAGCCTAACAACAGTTGGGTTTGCTAAATAAATGGTACTACAGAAAATCTTGACCCAAGTGGCACTACTTAGTCCAAATGTTTCTGACCAAAGAAAATTATACAATATTTATAGTCTACAACTTAAGAGATGGCTGACAAACTGTACATTTTTACATGTCAAATACATAGTCCAAGAGTTTATAAAATAAGTTCATGCATTATTACCTAAGAATACCATGTACAAGAAAAATCGCCCTAAGTTCTTGTGACAGCATTTCAGGTGGAAGCAGCCTTATATACAAAAACAATCCAGTTTTTCTGTTAAGTATATAATTTGACGAAGTTTCAGAGATTGCTGAGAAAATCTTAGTCTACTGATGATTGGTAGAAAATGTTGATTTGTGGGATTTGAAATGTTTACTTAAAAAAAAAAAAAAACACCCAGAATTATATAACCTCTGTACAAAGAAAAATATAAAAAATTCTGGATGACCATGCCTGATCACACTACATAATTTAGAGTGGAGCGTCACTGGTTTCTTTCTCATCCCTTTGACAGCATTAATTTGTGAACTATCACTTATATTTAATTTAGCTGCATTCATGACACAAGATCTCATTTTCAAAATGGCACCAATTTTCCTTAAGTGTAAGGACTATATTTTTAGCAGCAATTTTATCTCTAAAGGTGAACAATTTATAGAGCTTATGTTTTAACTTCTACTTCGTACTCACCAGCTGTAATATTTACAAGACTAATGTCTACATTAAAAATTGTTTCAGAAGCCCAATCCCACATCTTCAAAGATTTTGCTTCCTTCCTCATCTCTGACCTCAATGGGGAAGTGTGGGAGTTTCAGACAGGGTGTGTATGTACACTTTAGATGGGACGCCTGATTCTGAGACAAATCCACAACAAGATCATTGTTAAGTACGTTCCAGTGCCCCACAGGCTCTGTGACAAACAGTACTGACAACCTAGAAAGGGTGAGACATTCAAAGGTGCCCTAATACATAAGCCTGTGACAGCTGCAGCAAGGCGGCCTCAGCCCCCACTGGGAGGCAACCACCACTGACTGGTTTAAGAGCCATTTACTTTGAAGGAAAACAGTTCTAAGGTATTCTATGTAAAGAGATTACAGATAAAAGAATTGGCAACTGAGCATGCTAAATAAATTCCATGAAATACAAGTTTCATGACAATGTACTACATGCATTTTGCTAATATTTCCCTAAAAATTAATTAACTATAAAGTTGTATTGCATTTTTAAACCAAACTTTTAGGGGAAATAATTGTCTCTGGTTGATGGTGACAAAATATATGGAAATTCAGACAAATGAATTGACAGAATCCCAATATAGAAACTTAAAAGTTCTCTGTCAAAACAGAGGATCATAATGAAATAGACTGAATCTACAATTTATGAATTAAAATCAGGATCCTATAAAGTTAACTTGGGTAGATGGATTTAAATACCAAAAATATTTTAATTCCAGCTGTAGATTTCTTGAATAAGTTAATGCTGCAAATGAGAAAACAATTTTGGGAGAATTTACCCATTGAGTAGTTTGATCTCTGACAAAATAAGCAACACTGCTTATATGGATAAGAAAAACTGAAAATGCTGCTTAAAAAATGACAACCAAAATAACACTGGGAAAGGGGAGCACAGTTAAGGCATCTAAAAAAAAAATTCCACATGGCTTTGGCTTATTAAAATATTGTACACTTTTTTTTTTTTAAAGAAGATTTGAAAGCATCTGAAAAACATGCAAATTGTTTGAAATTCCTGCATGGCAAATTCAGACAGTTTGCGGGCATCATTCAGATGTTGGCCAAGGACAGTGCGGAGCCTCTCCCTGAGCTGGAGGAGAGTGTGCATCGGGGCAGCCCTCTGACTCTCCCTATCTCACGCTGGATGGCAGCCCAGGGCTCTGTGTGGTGCTCACGAACAAGGCGCTGTTCTCTGGAAGGGATGGGACCGTGGAGTTTCCATTGGTTGGGGAACAACCCAACTTTAACTTTTCCAGATACTCTGCATGTACAGGCTTATGGCACTGGAGAACTTTGATTGCATCTTCTACTTTGAACCACTCTCTTTTCCTTCCTAGAGAACATGAGGACATGGGTTACTATTAAGTCAATTATTAAAAGTACACAAGACCTACTGACACGATCCCCTCACTCTCTGCAATGTAATGTCTTTGTTTTTTAAGAAATGGCTTACATAGTATGCTGGAAAGACTATTAAGGTACATCTTCCCTACTCTGAAACAACTACCCAAAAAACTTAAGATAGAAATTAGATATAACAGTGACTGAAAAGAATTCAGATAACAAAAAGAACTTACCTATATTAACAGAATCTTCCCAATCTTCTAATATTTCAGTGACTGTAAGAACATATACATACGTTCTGTGCTTTCGGTCTTGGTTCTGCTTGAATATAAAAAGAAAAGCATTTTAATTTACAGGTGCTAGCTGTCAAGTTTTCAGGGCAATCCGTGTGGCACGCTGCTGATTGGTACGCTGCTGATGGCAACAGACAGGGGCCTGATGTTGGTATAGAAGGGTTCGTACAGGCAGAAAGTACACGTAAGGAAATGGAACCTCATCACCACTGATGGTGAAATTATCTCCCAGTAATAAACTTCTAAGAATTATATGTCTAATTTTTATAAAGAAAATCTTAAGATGTGAATGGAATCTGTATTAAAACAACTGTATTCCTGTAATTTTTATCCCTCCTTCTACTCCCTGGGCCTTTTCAGTGCTGTGAAAAGCTGCTTCAGTCGGGATCTGTACAGCAAAGCTCCCAGTTCCGTTAGAGCACTTGGGGGATACAAAGTGCACATAAAAGCACAGGCTAGCTATGCTGGCTGGGGCCTCTGCCTTGGCTGTTAGAGAGTATTGAGAATAAATGGCTTTCTTTTCCTTTCTCCTGCCAGTTCCAGTCACTTAGGGATACCTGTAGTGCTAACATTTTGTTTTAAAATGAAATATAGCCTGGGCTGAATAAATACTGTTAACAGAGCTAATGTTTCCTTTTGTTTTTGAAATGGCTTCACTGTGCAGTTTAAGCTGGCCTCAAAGTCAGCAGGATCCTCTTGCCTCAGCTTTCCATCTGCTGGGATTATAGGCGTGAGCCACCATGCCCAGTGGAACACAAATTGGCCTTCACATGAAGGCTCTTATCCTGATTAAATTTAATCATTTATAGTGTTAGGCTTGAAACAACAGCCTTCATTTTTTTTTTTCCTAAATAATTTGAGCAACCACTTCAACTATTAGTTTTGAGAAGGAATAATAACCACAATAAAACATAGGCACGTGTCATGTAAAAATATTTTCATTCTTAAGAATTTTTCTTATTTTTATGTCCAGCAAATCAGTGTTTACTGTAGTGCATTCACAATCACCAAAATAATTTTCACTTAAATTTGCTAAGGGGTTAGATATAGTTTGATGTTTTCTATTAAATAGTATTTTTGAGGTGGGTGTGGTAGTATGTGGCTATTATCCCCGCATTTGGAAGCTGAGGCAGGAGGATCACTGAATTTGAGGCCAGCCTGAGTTACATGAGTTTCTTAAGGCCAGGCTGAACTCTACATGGAGACCTTGTCTCATCCTCCCCTCCGAAAAACAGTATTTGTAAAACAATAGTTACTTTCCAATTATTATAAGCCTTATAATTAGTAAGTTTTCTTCAAAGACCTTGTCACCACAATACAGAGATGTCACTTGTATCACGATATCTAAATCACAGGGAAATCTCGGTGGTTTTTCAGTTTAACCAGGAGATGGTGCTATGGAACTGGGTAAAGTAAGTGCTCAATCTTGGAAAACTGTGAATAATACCTCAAGAACTTTGTTGTAATAACTACTGTACTCTAGTCTGTCATTAATTCTACAAAGTGCTATGCTATACAGCTCGGATTTTTTCCTGAAAGCTTCAAAGTAAAATCTGTATGCTCCAAGAAGACTGGGCTAACCCTTAAGTATTAAGTTGCAAAAAGAGTAAGTTTAAAGTGCCCATGCTCTGGCATACTCTGTAGCCAGGTCTGAAACACTTGAGAACTCCTAATTCTTGGAACCTGACTTCGTCTGTCCTCCATGAAACACCTAACATTTCAAATTCCCTCTCTGAAAATCCAATTTTGCCCTCAGGAATAAGCATTACATGGTATGAGAATTCTATTCCTATGTTTTTTGATAGGGTCTGGCTATGTAATTCAGGCTGGCCTCAAACTGGCTGTGATCTTTCTGCCTCAGCTTCCCAAGTGCTGGGGCTGCACGCACACACCATCTTGCCTGGCGGAAGCTGACTTTCGTTGTCTCCCTACAGTCCTTTAGGGATAGTCATTATGCTGTCTTAATATCTGCTGAGGGGATGACCAGCAACTGATCCTTAGACGGCTCTGCAGGTCAGTACGCAGTGTGGTCTGGACCAAGACTGAGCTTTCTGTGTTGCCCCTCTGCATGTCAAACAAGCAGTCACGCATATTGATGGCAGATGGGAAGATGCCACTCTTACTTACTTTTCTTGATCCTGTGACCAACCTGCCTATTGGTAGTTTTATTTTTCTTATTTTAGAAAAAAAAATCACCTATTCTATGAGCCAAGTGAGATTTAATTTTGTAACTCACCTCAAATATTCCCAGGAGCCTACCCAATTTTCCTCTGACTCCTGCCTGTTAAAAAGATAAAATGCCAAATATTAATTTTTCACGACACTTTTACAAACTATATTCTGGCTCTTTCAGATTTTAAATCTAAACATAACAGACCTTCTCTACACCAAGCCACTATCTTTCAGCTTTGTGAAGACTGCTGCCTGTAGTTTGCTATAAAGCCTCAAGTGGCAAAATCTAACAAACGAAAATCAGACTGCCAATTTGGGCCAAACATCAGAAACGAGAGGCTTTTAAGGATAGACTTCTGCTTTCTTAACTAAAGGCCTCTCTCCTTTTACTGGGGTGCAGGTAGACAGTTCTTTCCGCACAATACCCTTCTGCAGAGTCCTCTTGTTTACCGAGGTATGCAGCCCAACAGTTCTCTGGGGAGCCCCTGCCCCTGCCCGAGGTGTGCTTCCCACAGGAAACTGGTTTCCAAGACCCACTGCTGCAAAACCTTCCCTGACAAGCAGCATGAAAGCACACAGCACACACTTCTGTGGGGACTGGCACTGCTGCTCACTTGTGTTTTTTGTTTTACCTGTCACAAAAGTGAACCCTGTGGTCAAGGAAAAGACAACTAGGGGATCAGGTCGTGTGCCCCTGTGCACAGGATGTGCCACGTGTGCTAAACTTTGAGAAAAAAAGCAACTGGCTTCTCATTCATTTGAGAACTGTAGCACACAATTAACTTCTGTGCAGTCATGTTCACAGCAAAGCCATCATGTTACACACTGATCACTGGTCAAACAAATCTAACAGGCAGTTAGGTACTAATGCAATTTTGGGGGACTTCCACATTGAATTTAGCACTACGTATTTTACCAGGTTGAAAAAATATCTTTTTTTAAGAACTGAAGGTACAGTCCAGTGGCACAGTGCCTGCCTGTCAAGTGTGTGGTTCTGAGTTCAATTGCCAGTACAAAAAAGAAAAAAAAAAGTATCTGTTTAACAAAATAGTATCTATGGTCACATGCCTAAAATGTTGAGTTGGACCACAAAAAAAGCACTGCTGTGATCTGACCCCCCAATATTACATAGTGAAATCCCTCACCTCCTCATAAACTTCCCTCACGGCTGCACCGCCCGGCTCCTCCTCAGGCTCCATTCCGCCTCCTGGGACGATCCACTGGTCTGGATACCGACTGCTACTCACCAGCAGCACCTGCAAGCAACGCCCATGTTCTCAGCCTGAGAAGCACGATGAATGCAAACATTCTCAAGTCTTCTGGGCTATATATAGCTCCTGCCATGTCAGGCCTTCAGTTTTGTCAAAATTACTAAAGGCACGTGTTGTATCACCAAGAAGCATCTGGGGAATTTTGTGAGCACAAAGGCTAAAATCAGCTGGGTGTGGTGGCACATCCTTGTAACCCCAGACTTAGGCTAAAGTGGAATGATGGTCAAGAGTTGAGGCCAACCTGGGCTACATAATCTGTTCAAGGCCAGCCTGGAATACATACAAGATGCTGTCTCCAAATAACAGGCTAAAATCAGAATTCACCATTAACATGGCCACACCAGTAGAGCACTACAGCCTAATGGAATCACTTACAGTACAACTTTCTAATTTTTAGGTATTAACAAAGGCTAAAACCAAAGGTTTTTTTTGTATTTGTTTTTTTTCCAAAGCCCTAGAGTTGAATGTGCTGAGGCTTGTGGTCAGGTCAGTTATAAATTTAAAGAACCTATGTATCTTCCAAATAAGCGTGTATGACTGTTTGTAGGACACCTTGTTCTCTTACCTGGAAGATGTAAGATGTAGTGAAGTTTTTAGTAAAATGAAATGTAAACTTAACCCTTAACGTAAGGTTTAGGTATTACCAACAGGACTTAACATGTTCCCACCAGCTTGGAACGCCAGTGGTGCAAGCATAACTGTCCCATCAGACAGCTTTTGGTGCTGGATGACACCATCCCATGCTGTCCAATGGCTAGCAGAGACAGGTATATGTCAGCGGTGGTCCAGAGCCATCTGGCAGCAAGAAGTAAAAGTTACAGCCTCACCATGAATGTGCTAAGTATCAAAATTAGGAACTAAACTGCCAGAGTTAAGCAAATCTACCAAGTATCAGAAGATAATACGTTTGGACTTGAAAGTATCTGTGACTATACTGATAACTAATGGGTTTCTTTCCGTGGTGCTTTCCAATGCATTAATATCCTCACCAGGGATGTCCAATCTGTGGCCTCTGGCTGGACATGCCCGTGAGAAATAACTATCTTGTCCGCCTGACAGTGCACTACACACCTCAGACACGGGCTGGGCACACGCTGCTGACCATTCCATGATCCATTCTCAACTTACTGAGGTGGACGCACTGCTCAAGAACTAGGCTTGTTTCCAAATGCTACCAGTTGTCCTTGGCTTACAATTTCTCAGGATTGATGATGACATGAAGGAGAAAAGAGACATATCAGAACAGAGTATGCAGTGATTTATTAAAGGTGGGCTAAGAAATTAAGTATAGATAAGACTAATGTAAAAGTTTGGAAAAAGGAAATGATCAGCTAAAACGCTGCTATGGTTCCTTTGTTCAAATTCTACTTTAAACAAGGTGAAACTGGAATTTCAAAACCTTTGAATTCTATCAAAAAAGAGGTGTGGGCCACAGGTGTGAAGCAGGGGTAAAGAACTTGCATGGCTTGATCTCATGACCATTAGAAGCCTGAGTTTGGATCCCTAGATAGCAACCGAACCACCACTCAGAACAGGGTTCCTGAGGCTCTATGGTAACCCATGGCTGTGTCTCAAGACTGGTCCCCAAATATGGGTAAGGGCTCACAGGCTCCTTCTAGCCCCATCAAGTTCTTTCTTCCCCTTTCCCTTGCTCCCTCCAAGTCCCCTTCCTGCTTGCATAGGATCTATCTCCCTCTTTCCTGTTACATAGATTTAATTTTGCTGTTTATACCTGGAGGTTGTTTTGCTTTGTTTTGAGACAGGATATCACTATGTAGTTTCAGGCTGGCCTTGAAATCACAGCACTCTTCTTGCCTCAGCCTCCCTGAGTGCTGGATACAATTTTCAAGTTTGTATGTTTACATTATCTCATTTAACATTATAGTTTCAAAGTGCACAGCTGGGTAACATTCTTGCTACCCAATTCTACACTCTCTAAGCAACTTCACTTAATGGGACCAGTCTAGGTGGCTAGCCACTGGAAACATATCATTTAGTAAAGGAATTTTAAAACCATCAATATTCGATATGTTGGAGCCCCGAAAAATAAAATTGAAAGTGGTATGTGAACAGGGCAATGATTATTATGTTCCTAATTCTCCACAATCGTCTTTAAGAGCATGTTGGGAAACACATTAGTATAGTCTGTGTCTGTTTTTCTGAACATTTAAGCTTCAAAAGTTTGTTTAGGGGGATGGTGCTGGGAATGAAACCTTAACACTGAGCTTTATATTTTGATAGGTACTCCTCTAAATCACTAAAAAGCCCAAGTTGGATTCAACCCTCTGGCTTCACCCTCCCAGAGTGCTCAATGGCCACAAACAAGGCCAGCTTTTAAACTTTAGATTTTAAAACTAAATTTTCATCTACAGGATTTCAAGCAAGGTGTGATTAAGTATTCTTCCAAAAGCCAGAGACTGGAACCCAAATGATCCAGTATCACCCTTTCATAAATTATTTAGGAAGCCTCATGAAACAGACCTACACAAATTATGGGGAAAGGCTTTAGCCTAAAATGTTGTGATGGTTCACCTATAATCCCAGCATGCATTGAGAGGCTGGACGAGAAAATGGCTCCCAGTTCATCCTGGACCACACAGGGAGACTATGTCTCAAAACAAAACCAAACCAAACCATGATTTAGCCTAATCCAAGAATTTTAACATGCTCGGAGTCCCTTGACAGGCTAAGAAAGATTAAATTTGATCAAAAGATCAAACACCTATAAATTTGAATGAGTAATTGTTAAGGTCTAGGAAACATCTATGTGACTAGCTTAGGAAAAGAGATCTTGCTGGGCATGGTGGTACAAGCCTGTAATCCCAATACTCCAGAGGCTGAGACTAGGGAATCTTGTGAGTTTGAGACCAGCGTGGGCTGCAAAGTGAGCCCAAGGCCAGCCTGAACTGCACAGTGATACTGTCTCAAAAAGGGGGGAGGAAGCTCAGCGGCATAAGCACTGCCTTGCAAGCAGGCGGTCGTGAGTTTGATCCCCAGTACCGATTTAAAAAAAAAAAAAAAAAAAAGGCGGGGGAAGAAAGGAAATCTCCTAATAGCCATCTTTCGGGGATGGTAGATTTGAAACCTAGCATATTAAGCCTCTCCTTCTCGTCCCCACCAACAACCCTTCAGATGAAACAGGTCCCTGACTTGCCAAGAATTCCGGCCTGCCCTGAACCCTACTTTTGGACTTGTCATGTTTTTTTAGGCTGTAGAATTACACTCTATGTCACACTGTCATTAGCACCATATGGCTATTTAGATTTAAGACTGGATAAAATATTTATTTATTTGAGACAGGGTCTTGCTTTGTGGTTTGAGCTAGCTTTGAACTCACTTTGTAGCCCACGCTGGTCTCAGACTCACAAAATTCCCTTGCCTCAGCCTCTGGAGTATTGGGATTACAGGCATGTAATCCAGCAAGACTGGATAAATTTAAAAATTGAGTTTCTTTGCCCACTAGTCTTATTTTAGGTGTCCTATATTGTTCAGACACCACAGATCTACGCCTCTGGAAAGGTACATCCCTTTGTGAGACTTACCCTAGTGATTTATTGTCCAAGAACTCTGACATTCCAAAAACATTAAATATGATCAAATCATGAAATGTGTTTTTTTTTTAAATCAGTTTAACTGTGTATTTAATTTATATGGTTTAAAATGATAAAACCACGAAAAAAGAAATAAAACTTTTGTAAATAAGAAAGAGAAGAGGGTTTGAAAGGAGGATAGGAGAATGGGAAAAAAAAATCAATGTGTGTCATATACAGGTACAAATTCCCTAGATGAATGCCATTATTTGTACTTAATATATCCCAATAAACTTAAAAAACTGGAAAACGACCAAAATACTAACTTAAAAAACAGAAATCTGACATATGTGCCCCAGCCTTGAAAACCAGCTCGCTTTATGAAACGCTGCCTACTTATCTGCAAGACTCCATTACAATTCCAATGAGAGCAAGGGCACCCCTGGGGCATCCGGGAAGGTGGTGATTAGGAACAAGATAGAGAGAATGAATGGACTAGGGCACTGCCTGCAAGGGTGCACGGAAATCAGCAGCGCGAGCATGGACAGAGATGAGGATAATTCACACAGCCTCTCTCGCCCCCAGAATAAAAAGATGAAGATTTGGTTTCTGTAGTACTGGGTCCTGGACTCAGCACCTTTACACTGAGTTTCATTCCCAGCCCTTCCTCTTTTGAGACAGGATCCATTAAACTGCCAAGAGGGTCTTGAATTCGAAGTTCTCTTGTCTCAGCCTCCCGGTGCGGTGCGCTGGATGTGTAGGTGTGTGCTACCACACCCTGAGGATGGACAAATTTAATCTGAAGTCAGCTAACAGGGTGAGCAAAGCCATTCTTAGAAACTCACTGGAGTTTACCACAGGCATGAGACAAGGGTGTGGAAACACACAAATCATCCCTAATACTAGATTGATAGAGGCAACAGAAAAATTAACATTGCTTCAGAAGATGTTCATATTTTAATCAGGCAGACTACAGATAGTAATTTCTTAGGCAAGGGGTTAAAATGAACAAATAGGATCTCTCAATACCTTTCTTTTTTTTGAGACAAGAACTCATTACATAGCCCAAACTGGCCTTGAACTCCGTGATCTCCCATATCAGCCTCCCAAGTGCAGGATCACAAGCGTGTGCCACCAGCCCGGGAGCTCAATACTTTCTCAGTATTTTGTAAGCACCTCCTCCTTACTCCCCAAGAACCCTCACACTTGCTCTAGTTCAGCAGGTTTTGAGATGAAAGCCAAATTTATACTCATACATCATTTTATAGTTCCCAGTGTTATAAAGCCATTTTTCCTGCTAAGGAAAGGTTTCCGAAAGTTAAAAAGCCTCGGATTACTGGCAGTTGGGCCTGTGAGTGGTGAGCTACCTGTGCCTGCCACACAGGTCTCTGTGGAACCCTGGAGAAATCAAGTCCAACCTGTAACTCATATCAGGAAACTGCAGGGCTCCTGGAT